TTATTATTATTGATACTAAATTATAACGTGACGTTTGCGTCAAACCAACTCGCCATAAAGTGAAAACTGTGTGTTGACAAGAACACACAACGTTGTAGTCCCTTATGGACATCCTGCTTCAATCAGACAGTTCTAATTTAGATAATTTAGGAGACGGCCTTTCGACCCTGCCTGTCAGGATCAATCTGGGCTGAGAGAGATACAGCATCCCTGCTGCAAAATTGAGAAACACGATAAAAAAATATGTTTCTCTACTCGGGAATGGGAATCAAATTCGAATCTTCTGCGCGCGATGGTAGTTGTGATGTGACATCACGAAGCACCCAGCACCTCAGGGTATTGGCTTAGCCAGGTCGTACTGGAAGCAGTCATTGGAGGCCCTCACAGAGTTGCTGGCCTTCCTCCTGGGAGCTGCCACTGGTGGAGAAGCCTTGGTCGTTCCAACGACTGAGGGCGCTGACAGTCTGTGGGGGTCAGCTTTCTCATCCTCGCCCCTACTCTTCATCGTCACCGGAGCGCTAATACGAGAGGCCGATACCTCGCTCTTTGCGTCATTGTAGATCGGTTCATATGAGATCTCCTCACTAGTCACCGAACGTTTGCCTTTTGCTTTCGGGGGAAGATTCAGGTCTACTTTGGTTTCGGCGGCCGTTGAGTATCTGGTGTCATGATCGCTGTAATCCGAAGACATTCGTGAACTTCGATGTTTCTCCAGTTCGAAGTATAGTCCCTTGTCATCCGCTGTTTGATTGGCTGCTAACCGCATCACAACAGCAGAGTCCTCATCTCGCCCTTTCCCATCAGTGTGTTCAAACGCCTGATTAACGAGTCCTGAAGAAGCCGGAGCAGACGGGCTCTCGCTCTCGACCAGGCTCCTTAGGCTGTCTGGACGTGAACCACCGCCGTCTGGGACTGAGCTGTAATCGTCTTGCCCCTCCGTCTGGGGTGCCAACTGGTCGTAGCTTGCCATGATCACGTGCTCCAATATGGAGGAATCCTGACCCAGGCGGGCGTAGCCTTCAGCTTCACTGGCGTTCTTGTCGCCCTCTTCGTCACAGTTTCCGGGGTTGTCAGATTTAGCTCCTCCCTCAGCCTCAGACTGAAGCTTTTTAGACTGGCGTTTCTGCTCGCGTACCTGTAGATTATGTTATTAGAACCAATTAACCAATAACTTAAGTCATGAGTTAACAAGAATGAATACGTCGCATTGATAGATAGACAGGACAATTGGTGCTTTATACATGTATGCATGTTAACATACATAAAATTGTGTATACAATATAATATTTTATTGCAATATGTAACAACCAACACACGTCGATAGATAGATGGACGAATAGATAGATAGATAGATAGATAGATAGATAGATAGATAGATAGATAGATAGATAGAGGGGTGGCAACTAAGTGGGAAGGCAGCACACTTATTGCTAGAAAGACATAATACTTTGATAAACTATTTCGTAAAGCCAAAATAATTCCATCAACTTTGAACTGTGAAACTATCGATAAGGCAGATACAACTAGACCGTATAGCATACCTTAACAACTTTTAGAATTTGTCTCGAAGATTGCAAAAAGGAAGACGAAATAAATTATAATCTGCTTCTATTGATTAAGATCTGCCCTTAAAAGTTTTGTACTGGAATTACTAGCAAGTGAACGCTACGTATTTTAGTGGAACAATTTCAGAGCTTTAATTTCAACACATACCTGACAATGGTGTATTCTAGGCTGCTTATTAGAACAGGTTTGCTAGTGAAGAAGGAAAGTTAACATCTATTTCTAACATGACTGAGCAGAGCCTATTATTATGAACCACTCTTTGGTTATATTTGGCTTGGAATTAGAACACAGGACGTACGTATGCACAGCAATCCAGTGAAGTACCAACTGCAGTAGTGCCAGAGAAGGACAGGCGATTATATTTTGATAGTGAGGCTCTTGGCCTTTTACAAAGAAGCTGTGATTTTTATTCCTACGTGGGTATGATGTTTTACCGAGTATCTCTGCCAGAATGGTGTTAATACCCAATGCACACTGCCAATCAGATTCATAATTAATTAGTAGAAGCCAACTAGATTTATCTTCACGGACGGAGAGGTAAAGGCTACCATTGACATAATACGAGCGATTCCACTGGAGGCCTAAAAAACAAATGTGTTTGGTGTTGAAGAACACAGTCGCACTTACTTATTTTCGGTCGTATTGTTAAAAATTGATAGCCTTTGTTCTAACCATGAAGAAAAATTAGCGTGTCCTCGACTCAATCCAGTGTATCTGTTTGACAATGCGTACTGGTTAGGAGTGGCGACACAAGCAGCTTGCCTCCTAGAATTCTGAATTAAAAGTTTCAATGTTGGCTTAAAAAGGTGCGGTCAAGAGGGGGAAGAAAAAGAAGAGGGGTGCACTCACCTGGAAGGCGGACGTGTACTCTGCGCCATGCTCCTCCAGGAAGTCAGGCGTGGAGTTTATGCGCACTCTTTTGCTTGGGTTCTTTCGCTTATTCGCACGTACGTCATTGGCCGAAATGTAAAGTTCCTGGGAATGAGGAGGGAGACACGTGGTTGTAGTAATCTTATTCTACCTGTAATAATAGAACAAACTACTGAAATTGGATGTACCAAGTCACGGGGTAAACGCACAACAGTGCAGCTTCATCCCAAAAAGGTCAGTCACAGTGGGACAAGGGCTCATTGGTCATTGTCACTGTTCATTGTCATTAGTCATAATATAATATTATGTTTACATCCTCTTTCAACGCTGCAAAGTTATTGAAGAGGCAGGACCACCGAATTTAACGTTCATCTCCGATAGGACAGAGCCACATGAGTGGAGAATTTTAAATATTTCAGTTCAGAACATCCGTTGGGGATTTGAACGAGGGCCATCCGCTCCATTGTCCTACATGATACCAAGTGCAGTGAACAAACCATGTGCCAGGGCAGAATTATTTTGAATAAGTGAATATCTTGAGAGCTTATTATAATAAAACTGAAGATTGTAAATTACAGGTTGGCTAAATATCTCTATTTCAGATACTAAAGCCAACACCGACAATAATGCGGGAAACGACCATTATTACATCTTTCCTATTACTTTTAGGGAGAGAAGTGACTTGAATACAAAGAATAGGAACAAAGATAGCTCAACAAGAAATTCGATTTGAAGAACGGAAACAACTTGTTTAATATTTAAGTGCTACCCGTGGCCACCTGTTCCTGTTGTGAATGATTAAGCCAAAGAGGTTATATTTAGTACTAGTGTTCGTTGCAATGATGTCCCCCACGTAAACGATCGGAGGCTGCCTGTGCCCACTCTGGGACGCTGAACCTCAAGAGTAAGACATGCGCAGTTCAACAGACGGGCGAGTACTTTTCGAAACTCACATGGAGGCGTCTTGGTGTTCTTAGAAGGAAATCCACACGCTTGCTCAGAAATATGGGGGCAGGGTGGTGCTTAATACACAAGAGATCGTGAAGAACGGGATGGGGGTTCAAATTGCTCATGTAAATGGGGGAACGCCGGTCATTCAGATGAACTTACGAAGATCGCCATGTCTGACACTTGAGACACATTGCTGCGAGCTCTAGTATATAACTTCTTTGAGTTAAGCTCTTCACCATTGCTTGCTAAAACATGTGCTCAATTCCTGAAAGTGGATGTACAGTTAAGCCTGCTCTAACGGCCACCTGGATAAGACAAGCACCGGTATAAAAGGTCACCCCCCCCCCCACCTTCTTTTGTTTGTTTGTTTCTTTTAAGTGTTTATTCTTATACAATGACACTGCAAAACGTTTACCTGCACCCCTTCTCTCTAGCTCTCTCTCTCTCTCTCTCTCTCTCTCTCTCTCTCTCTCTCTCTCTCTCTCTCTCTCTCTCTCTCTCTCTCTCTCTCTCTCTCTCTCTCTGTCTGTCTCCTCCTCCTCCCCCCTCCTCCTCCTTCTCCTCCTCTTTTTTGGCATTTACAAAAATGAATTGGTCGCTTTTAAGTACAAGGGGGCTATCCCCAAAAATGCTGTTTTGAGAAAATCGAAGGTAAAAATTTTCACCTTTTGTTCAGTTTCTTTAAAATACAAGGAGAATTTTCCGTTTAACCAACCAGTTATACACACAAGTGAACCTAAACTCCTCTTATAGGTAGGGCAAAGCTCACTTTTGGTGTAGGTCAAGATTTTGGAAACTCCCGAAATCTGGGTTAGCCCGGTTGTCCTTAACAGAGACCAATCAGCCTAATTCATCAAGAATCTACTACCTGTGTTGACGTCGCAGAGTTCCTTCCGGACTCAGAAGTGGTACCAATGCTGGACGTTCTTTCCAGTTCTCTCAGCTGTTCGCTCGTGGTGCTGTAGTAGATCTCAGCATCGTCAGAATCTTTGCCGAACATGGACGATTCTGAATTGCGAGATTTGCGTTTCCTGTAGAAATATATAACACCATTTTAATTACATACGTCACTATTAAAAATTAAGCCACAATGGGGGTGCTTCTGTGTAATCTGCTTAGCTTTCCAATACAAACATAGATAAACAACTTTTTAAAAGCCGAATAAATAGAACAATTAATAAACGATCAATCTTTGTCAAACAATAAGTGATTTACAAATAGACATCAGTTCCTCGTTTTTATTCTATTAATTTTTAATGAATGAATGAATGAATGAATGAATGAATGAATGAATGAATGAAAGAATGAATGAATGAAAGAATAAATGAATGAATGAATGAATGAATGAAAGAATGAATGAATGAATGAATGAAAGAATGAATGAATGAATGAATGAAAGAATGAATGAATGAAAGAATGAAAGAATGAATGAATGAATGAATGAATGAATGAATGAATGAATGAATGAATGAATGAATGAATGAATACCGAGTTAATAAAAGAATACATAGGAGTTTTTTTTTTTTTTAAACTAAATAATATTTGCAAAATTAATACAAAACCTAGAGCGACTAATCTGGTTTTGAACGCTGTACGCTGCACATACCTGGCCAGCAGAACGATAAGAACGATGATGACAGCCACGAGAACAACTCCTGCTACACAGCCGCCAATGATGCCGGCCATGTTCAGCTTACGGCCTGCAAAGATATTATTATGGACTCAAACAATAAAACAGGACAAACGTTTAATCTGCGATCGCCCTTCCCTCTGAAACTTGCAATTATTATTTGAAGAGTGTTGTAGGCAAGACAATAGTTGAAGGAAGAGGAGGAAAGAATGCTGATGTCCAGATATTTTAACAATAATATTTCCATTGTGCAACACAATGAAGAACACAAAAAAGGCTACATGTATCTGCTAACTAGTCAGGCAGACTGTAAGTCAACAGTTGTGACCATCTATCTATCTATCTATCTATCTATCTATCTATCTATCTATCTATCTATCTATCTATCTGTCTAATTATCTATCTATCAGTCTGTCTGTCTATCTATCCACTAATCATACGTGTCCGTTTTCTGACGTTTTTGTGTGAATAGATAGGATGACTCTACCACCTGGTAACTTTTTGTTTGGAAAATATTGACGTTTGTTGGGAAATATAATACCTTTGTCCGAGAGATCACGAGATGACTGCGGTTCTGCATCTGTAGAAATTACAAAATAATATTCGTATAGATAATATAATATGTATAGATCATATATAAATAGATAATTGGACAAAATAATAGATAAATATAGTATAAGAACCGTATGAGTAAACAAACACATAGTAGGCCTACAACTGTACCGAAATTGTTTAAAAACGGACTTTACTTTAAAATCTTGACATTTCTCAGATGCACAGATCAAAATAAATATGATAAGCCATAGTGGCTTTCCCATGCGTTGAACAGAAAGCTTTCCCCCAGCTGAACGATGACAAAATGTCAAATTTCGTTGATTCCCACCACTGGGGACAGATTCCCTGTTAAGCAATAGTTTAGAATAGGGCGACAACACTACACACACACACACAAAACAACAACAACAGGCGCAATAGAGAAGGCTACCTCTTAATAGAAAAAAAAATCTTAACAAAACCGCACGCCTGTTTCTGAGAAATTATACGAGAGATACGATTAACAGCAAAAAAAGTTAATTAATACCCCCATCACCTTGCTATTCCACGAAAGAGAGAGGGTGAGAGAAAGAGAGAGAGAGAGAGAGAGAGAGAGAGAGAGAGAGAGAGAGAGGGGGGGGGAGAGAGAGAAGAGAGAGAGAGAGAGAGAGGGAGAGATATATATATATATATAGAGAGAGAGAGAGTGTGTGTGTGTGTGTGTGTGTGTGTGTGTGTGTGAGAGAGAGAGAGAGAGAGAGAGAGAGAGGGGGGCGGGGACAGAGGGGTGGGGGGAGAGAGTTTATTCTGTTTATATTAAAACATAGAAAGGCTGACATATCATTATATTAGAGTTAAACAGAAAGATATACAGAAAGACAGATGCCTTTTTCGTCTTCTCGGTCTTTGTCATCGGCATCATTTCTTGTATCTCCAGTGACGTCACGATTGTCTTGGGCCGGAGATTCGGTGTATGTCTTCACGGGAAGCAGACCCTGTAGCTTACACGTCAGACGGATTGCCTCGTCTTCATTAGCTGGACATCGTAACAAACAACAATAGATACAGCATTATTTCAAAAGAAACAGAGCAACCATAAAACTGTAAAACAATCACGTTTGTTATCTCCTCCTTCATCTCTAAATGGATATCCCAGTCTCTTGTGCGAAAGCTGCTGTTTGCCACGGGTCCTCCTGACCCTCCTCCCCCTCACCACCATACAGTTTTGGGTCTCTCTGCCTAGAGTTGGGCAAATATGTCTTTTTAAGTGTCTCGTGCATTGAGTAGGCTTCCAGCATATGGTTCCCTGTTTGGTTGCCGGTTCCGTTTGTTGTTAAGGTAGATTATTTACGACTTCAGCGATAGAATTAATATCATTCAAGTATGAACAATTTTCAGTAGATGATAACACAGAAATTACACTTTCCCCACTTTTCTGAAAATCAGTGTTATCACTCTTTCATAGTTAGTGTCGAACATTGACGATACGTTAGTAATACGCATCAGCAGGAAGAGCAGTCTATATCAGCCCCACCCCCCCCCAACAAAAAAAAACTATACACAAAACAACAACAAAAAACAACAACAACAACTAACGACAGCAGAACATGGATCCGTCTATCTCAGAAAAAATGTATTAATTTACTCCCATTGGAACAGTCAACTCACCCTCAAAGCCAATCCAGACGAACTCGGGAAGATGTTCCCGGATTTCCACACGTAAAGTGGCCACGTTACTTTCGTTGAGGACAGCAACAAACGGGAAGTTGATTCTGGGGTCTCGAATGGACTCGCAGTCAAGCCTCTTCTCATTTCCTCCTGATCTGAAATGAGAGGAGTGTACTATGCCTTACTCGTCACTGTGTGGAAGTGTCGTGAAGTGTCGTAAATTATATGGATGTACATGTAACTCAGGAATCAGCTACAAAAAATCCCTAAAATAACATCGTTATTTCAAATGCGGATGACAATACTTTGTCTTGACTCTTAAACTCCATATTGGTAACTTACCTATTTAATTAACCTTTTTCCAGCCCCTGTCACATTACAGTTTTCTCTTGTTTGTTGATATTCGTAGCTGGGCCAATTAAAACTTCGAGATAAAAAAGGATAGTAATTGGCTCTCCGATCGGCTCGATGCTGTGTGTATGTGGGTTTTTTCAGGTTTTTTCCCTTGTTTTTTATGAGAGGTTATTGTTGTTTTTTAATTAATTTTTTTTCTGGGGGGGGGGGGGGTGCGGTGATGGGTTTGAGAAATTGAGGCAGTAGGGGGTTGACGTTTGCAAAATCTCAGACTTAGCTCTGTTTTGACGTAGCGGACACTTGCGTCCGGCCAGGAGCAGATCAAGAGCAATCAATATCGCAGCACAATTTGAACCACTATAGACATATCAGAAACACAAGTTTGCATATTTCATAGTATGTATGTTGTTGCTTGTCTTAATCATTTTCAGGTAAAGAATGTATGGAGAACGGAGTTAATGCAATAAGTGCCTTAAAACAGTGATTCGAGTCTTCATAGGTTGTTGAATGACCAGCATGTGTGTCCTATAAGTTTAAGAAAGAATTAAAGCAAGGCAACAGTTGAAGACTCCAGGGTCAAGGACTGGTGATGTCCTTTTCATTTTCAAATCTCCGTTGTGCAACACAATGATAACATGAAAATCTAAAATGTCTAAAATAATCACTATAAGAACGCTTCAATCGCGGAATACAAAACTTTCAAAGAATCTTACACATGAAAGAAACGTGAAATATCTGGATCTAAACTTCAGCGAGTGCTTGGAGGGCTGTACTGTTTCCCTCTCTTGTTTCTGTCTATCTGTCTTGTTTCTTTCCTGCACCATATGCCCCACTATTGCGTCAATAATGTGCTTCTCTTTACTCAAACTTCAAATTTGAAGTAAAAGTAATGTGTGACAGTTTGATCTCTCTCATGACCTTAAGGGGGGCATCAGGGCAATCTTTGCTTCTCTTTACTTAATCTCTATATTTCAGTTAGAAGCAACGTGCGATCTTACAAGTTTTCCCTGCTTTATGGTTTCCAGTTTGCCCTCTCACCTGACCATAAGGGAGGCATCTGCACACTCTTTGCTTCTCTTCCGGTCAAGGCGCATGTCCACCAGGAACACGGCAATGCTATTGGTCGTAGGCCAGCGCGTGCTCTCAGCCAGACAGGAACAGACGCTGCCTTTGGCGGGTCTGCCAGGTCCCTGGGGGTCAATCTTGGCGAACAAAGTCTTGCCCACAACCACCAGCTCCTGGGGGCTGCAGATGTCTGCAACTAGTGAATCTGGAGACCAATTTTGAAAAACATCACTTTCCTGTTTCAGCACGGATGTAAGGCTGGACATCATTTTGTATTCAGAAAATTGGCACTTTTTAAACAAAATGAGTTTTTATTTTTCTCTGGAAGTTAGAGGATAAGTTTGGTGTTTGTCACAAAAAAAAAAGACAGACACCTCTACCCCCCCCCCCCCCCCCGCCCCCAACCCCCAAGAAAAATAAAATAAAAATAAATAAATAAATAAATAAATAAATAAATAAATAAATAAATAAATAAATAAATAAATAAACAGCCCGATCCACATCCCCCCCAAGCATTACACTACTTAGTCAAAGCTTTTGAGAGTGAGATGGCCTGTAAAGGCTGCTCACTACGGCAGTTTGTCTACAAAAAAATTGAAACAAATTTTATGTTAGGGCTTTTGAGAGGTATAGAATTAAATCTAAATGCACACGAGTGTTGAGAATGACTTGATCTCAAAGGTAATTCTGATGATAATCATTTGACCGAACACATTTTCAGACCTCTATTCCACTTCCGATCGGACATAATCGTCACACAGGGACAAGCGC